GACACAAGACTCATCCGCACCAACAACAACAATTTATTGGTAGACTGGTACCAGAAACCTATGGCCTCAGGTCGGTTTCTCAATTTTAGGTCATACCATAAGCTAGGGATTAAAATCAATTTGGTAAAACAGATGAAAACAAGGGTAATCAGCATCTCAGATAATACTTTCTACACCTCAAATTTACATAAACTATCAAAACTGTTCATCAATAATGGTTATCCGAAGTGTCTGATTAACAAGATCTTATTTAGTTCACCTTCCAATATTTTGCCGAACTCTGGTGATGCAGGTGATAGTCGCACAACCCCTAATAACGGAACTGATGTAATTCCCAATAATAGCATCAATCCAAACAGTTCAAGCACCAACCAGGACTCCAGACCTGGTTTTGCTGTCCTGCCCTATATGAATGAACTGACCCGTAAGCTGATCAGATTGTGCAGTCCTTTGAACTTTCGAATTGCTTGCAAATCCGTCCTCACTATAAACTGCATTTTTTCAAAGATGAAAGACAAAGTCCCGCTGCTTGGCTTAACCAACACAGTCTACTCTATCAATTGCAACAACTGCAACCAAATATACATAGGTCAGACCTACAGATCTCTTAAAGGAAGGATTACATCACACAAAAGTGATTCTAGGCTTCATCCTGAAAGATGCGCTCTAGCATCTCATGTTAACACAACAGGGCACTCTATGAATTACACAAGTATCAAAGTTCTTGATAAAGAAAAACACCTATCCAAACGTTTATTTCTGGAAATGTCCCACATTTTCATGAATAACAACTGTATCAACAAAAAGACAGATGTTAAACAACTGAGTGTCATTTACTCATATTTGCTAAACTGCGAAAAATTGGAGAACTTACATATCTCCCCAAATTTCGACTCTTCACAACCATAAATAGAATCTGTGTTTTGGCCGATTCCACCAGTAAATTTCATTCCACTCAAAATCTAATAATTCTCTTCTCACGATTTATTAATAATTGTCAATTTAAATTCTCATTAATTAAAATATAGTTTAATCAACTGCCTCTGGTCGGTTTAACAATTTCTTATATAACATTCTGAAAATCACATCATCTGAAGTGATTTGGCAACGTTTGGCACACGCCCACAATTCGTTCCATCTTTCAACACAGACATTGACAACCTTCGGCCTTCTGTCAAAGGGTTCATCTCACTCATTATTCCATGACCACCATTTTGTGCAATCATCAAGTGGCTTCACGATGTAATGCTCTAATGTTTTTAAATAATTTTTAATCTGTTTTTAACTTGTTCTTGTCATATTTTATATAATTTTGACCACTGTATCGTCTATCCAGCTCTCACCATGTTACTGGACGTTTCCCTCATCCTATACGTAAACAACAATTAGCAACATCCTCACATACTACTGTAAGTTGAGTCAATTTAAATTCATTTTACACTTTTGTTGCTACTGTTATCATTGTAATTGCAGCTCCTGATGATGATGGCAAAGTCTATTGAAAGCTGGAGAGAATTAAAAAAGTAAAAAGTTAAATTTTGTCGAAGTACCCAACAAAAGGGGGAAGCTTTAATTTTTCACCTAACTGGTCTAGACGACAATGACCACGTCTCAAGTTATATATGTATGTATATATATAGTATTCATAGTTAAGTGCCTTAACTGTTAGGAGAACATATCCCTGAATTTCGTTGGGTAGAAGGCAAAGTATTGCAAAAGTACACTCTTATTATTATTTATTCGTCGACTATGTGTTCCCTTCATTGTTGCTTAAAAGCAGTTTCAGCTACAATCTCGCCGACTTAGTAAGTAACTATTTTTCCTCCTAATTGTTATTTGTTGCTATTGTTAATAATTGTTTCCAGCTCCAGACGATGAAGACATAGATCTTCGAAAGCTCGAGCTTAAGTTATAAGAGTGTACTTTTGCAATACTTTGCCTTCTACCCAAAGACATTCAAGGATATATATATATATATATATATATATATATATATATAAATATATGAGCGGTAGTCATTGCCAAAGCCAACGACTAGCTTTCGGCATTCTCTATGGAGCCTTCATCAGGATTCTGAAAACACAATTGTGATGCTAGCAAAGAAAACAGGACAGATTTAAATTGTCAGACAACTTACTCGTCGGTGAGGTTGCAGCCGCAAGGTGTTTCAGAACGAACGTAGAGAAGATCGAAATTATAATCAGTATAAAAACAAAAGGACGGGGACATTCGGTTTGTTGTAAAACGACAGATACCTTCGTTAAATGTTAAAAATATCAATCCACCCGAACAAGTTAAAAATATTACACGTGAGACGACATTTTGTTGAAACAATCGGAATGCAGATTCTAACCTTCTGTACCCGCAACACGTGGAGAGGGGGACGACACGGAAAGATAAAGCGTCGACAGGTGACAAGTGATTGACGCGACGGACCGTGGAAATGTAAACCTGTCTGTCCAGCTCTGGGTATGAAGTATACGACGGACGCTCGGTAAACCTCCACCCAAAATTACTAAAATGCTGAATTAACTTGTCTTGGAAAATTTTTGTGTAGCTCATATGAGTGGAAAAATATGAGATATTGATAGAACCTTGAAAAGATGTGTTTTGTGAGTTTATATTAAAAAAGTGAGTGAGAAAAAGTATTCTAATTTTGTGAAGATGTTGGTTCAATTTGGATATGTAGCCGTTCTAGCTTTTCACAATTCAACAGGCAGGAATAAACGACACTGAGCTGCTTGACATCAGCCTTTTTATTCATGGAATGATCTGTCATGAAAATGTGAGACATTTCTAAAAATAAACGTTTTGAGAGTCTTTTTTCTTTATCAAGAACCTCAACACTGCCATAATTCATGGAGTGACTTGTGTTGTTAATATGCGATGCCAAAGCACATCTCTCTGGATGTAATCTGGCGTCACTCAGCTGGTCAGAGTCCAGATCAACGAGGACTTGATCTGGTACGAACATATCTCGTTAATAACGGAAGCTGCTGGAAAAAAGCTGGGCTATTTGTTTAGGGAAAGTGGTACGCTTCCCGACATGACCTCCTCACTCTGTACAAGGTCCAAATAAGTCCTAGCTCGAGAATTGCTCACATGTTTGGTGTGCTGCCGCCCTAACTACGTATACATTATCCATGATCGATTCTTTCATCTGAAAATTGGCAAATTTGCAACAATTATAATCATCATCATACCTTCTTAACTTGTCAGATTAACAACTGCCGTACAAGTTATCAGGGTGTACAAGCGGGATTCTCAACCCAGAAAATAGCTCAAATTCTAAGCTGATCGCGTTTAAGAAATTTGAAACTTTTAACATTTTTATTTTAGTACTGGTAGTATATTTTACGAAACTGTGAATCTTAACAGTACCATCCATTATGTTAGATAACTAGAAATAGAAGGTTTCTATAAGAAATTGACGTAAAGGAGGTTGACTCTTCACTTCCTACGTAATGCCGACATCAGTTCATAAAGGATTAAGTTTAGCGCAATTTAAGCGCCCTGAGAAAAAAGTTAAAAGAGTTCATCAGAGAAATCAAACGGATCATGTCAGTGAGACAGGCATTCTGTCCCTGCCCTACTAGTATTTATTGTCTATCTGGCAACGTTGTCTCATTTCACATCTACGGGGCGGCGCCCATCGCGGCAGGTCTACCAATTTTTCGGTAGATTTACCTATTTTAGTTATATTCGACCGAACTACCGATTTCAATGTGAAATCTACCCAAAATTCGTTCAAGTATGTTTCTGTGCTCTTCAATTTTTCAACTAGAAGCATTTCAGCATTTGACGCTATACCTACCCTTCCGCTCTTCAGTTTTCAATATCGAGTGGAACTCAGCCAAGGCCTTTCAATTTTTACATCTTCGGCAAGCTTTTGCTTTATGTTTACCGAAATCTACGGAGAAGTTTCGCACATATCTACTGAAAACAGATCGGCTACACCCGGCAACACTATTTCGTGTGCGTGTACGTATATATTAGTCAGCCGAAACGATACGCCGGGCGGTGAGTTTAGGTAGCAGGAGTACGCCGATATAATACCTTTCTCTATCAAGGCAAATGTAGGGGGAAATCTATGATACGTGGAGTATTGCTAATAGATGCATAGAATTTCCGGGGTTGAGAGCGTATAAACATCAAAAACAAATCAGTATACCCTCCTCCAGTACTTACAACCCCGAATTTTAGCAAACATTTTGATGGGGAGCCTCTGAAACGTAGAAAAACGTTTGATCGATTTTTATTCTTTTTTGTTTTTGCTCCTAGCAACTAGAAAGTTTTACATCATTGGCATACAAGCGACCTTGTAAGATAAATTCACCCAAATCTGAGCGGAGCTTCTCAAGTTATGGGCGGTCATAGAATTAACAGACTGACAGACAAACCAACAGACCAAAAACCGACAAATCGACAGACCGACAGATCTTCGGGCAGACCGACGAAAATAAGTGATATGGTTTTTCACGATGTAAATGTCATATAACATCCAAAAACCATATCTCATTTTCGAGACTTTTCGAGACTACAATACTTCCTCGCCCAGTGGAGTGCGAGTATAAAGGCGGCTAGAGACATGTGAAATGTAGCAAATGACAAATGTTTGATTATTTGCGAACTGTTTGTCCAAATATTTGCAAAGTACCAAGCATACATCTACATACATGTGTTGATTTGCCAAGTTTCAAACAAAATTCGGAAACGTCAAATTTTGTTGTTTGCTGTTTGTTTGCAAATACGGATATAGAAACCGCAGCTGCAGCTTTTCTTGTTATAAGTAGTGCCTATTTGTTACTAAAGAAGAAAAAGGAAAGAAAGCCAAGAAGATGGTGGACGGTGTCACTTATCAGAAGCACAGAAAGGTGAGTTTGCAGACTGGAAATTAAGAAATAGTTTAATAATGTAATCTTTACTTGTAGATACAGTGTCAGCAATTTGTTGGCAGATCTGTTAAAAGAACCTTCTGGTTTCTTTGAAAACTTTTTTTTATGGTAGAGTCGTATATTGTAAAGAAAAACACAAAATGGAGAAAAGCCATTCCAGCGAATGAACGTCTGGCCATAACATTGCGATTTCTAGCCACCGGTGACAGCTTTAAGAGCCTTTGCTATCTTGTCAAAGTTTCATCCCAGTTGATATCAAGCATTGTTCCTGAAGTTTGCAAGGCAATAATAAAAGTTTTTTTGAGATACAATAAAGGTAAGAGGTACAATTTGTAAAATAATATATATTGAACGTAATTTATAGGAACATAACAAAGCTCTCTGGACAAATTGGAGCATATAATAGAAATAATACCAATCTTAAAACTAAAAGATAGAAATATTTCACTGAAAAGTTGTTAAAAAAGTTGCGATTGTTATATCTTCGTTGGACTGTAATGAATTAACATCGTCATTCACTGTGTTGATAGAACGTAACTCTGGTTCCGAGTGATAGGAATGGGAAACATCTGAGACTGGTGAAGATGAAATCTGTGAATGGTGGAGAGTATGGTTGTGAACATCTGACAGCTGTCGGTAGTGGAACGACGTGTGTTTGAGGAGCAGGCGGGTGTTCATTACCTGAGCAACAGGTATACTGATACTGAGAATAAACCATTTTTGTGCGAAAAACGCTATTATCTATTTGATTCATTACGATGTCTCGCGTTCAGTCATCCATTTTGCGCAGTTTTACAGCAAGAAGTTCGCAATATAGATCGCAGTCATCTTTGTTTTTTTTTTCTTCAGTATAGAGTATGCTTCTTGCATTTGTGTATGCAGGGCTTCATCTGCTGCTAACGAACCTCTCATTTTCTTCTTGCTAGGAACCTTGAAAACGCTTTGTGGTGAGGATTCATATAATGTTGTTCCAACATTTTCACCATGCTCACTTCCATTTGTTGCATCAGTTACATCATCCTGTATTTGTTCCGGTTTGTCGCCTTCGCCGGATTTCTCGTCTAGCTGTGGCAGAATATCCTGAAAATCACAAAATTAAAATGTTATTATCCTAGAACGCCATTTGTCACTATTGTCTTAAAATAATAATAATAATATAATATTATCATTAACACTAATTCTATTTCCGTTTTCCTTTCACGGTTGTGACCAGTTAAATTTATTCAGATGAAGAAGAACTGACTTCGACCAACTGATATTATTATTTTCATTATTACACTGATCAATAGCCAAAAAATATCCTAAATAAAATCAACAAAATATTGCTATTTTTAATGTGCTAAAATCGGAATGAAACTTATTTTTTCAATATTAGTTCAAGTTTTAGAGATACGGTAATTATATGTGTTCCTGCTGTGACAGTGTTAATATACTGTAATTCACAAGAATGCACGTGCTACATTTTTATATTCGGCAAGGAAAGATGATGTAATCGGCATGATTGTGGAACTTTATACATACGTGTACATTATATTGTTTTATATTAGCCATTTTTGCCTCAGTTGGCTGACAGCGTTCATGCAAGATGTCTCGAAAGTGTGTAAACAATCCAGATCAGTTTTGTTACGTGTGTGGTGATGTGACTTTTGCGTCTCAGAGACGGTCTATTACTCCACTAATAACAAAGGCATATCAGCTTTATTTTGGTTGTAAACTAGGTGATCAAGACAAACAGTGGGCACCCCACATCTGCTGTAATACATGTGCTTCAAGCCTGAGGAGCTGGTTAAATGACAAAAAACGGTCTATGCGCTTTGCTGTCCAATGGTTTCGAGAGAGCCTACAAATCATATTAATGATTGTTACTTTTGCATAGTACCTTGTGTTGGACAAGCCACAGGTATGTCCAAGAAAAAAAAATCGGTTATTAACTACCCAAACATACCATCTGCGATGAGACCTGTGCCTCACAGTGACGAAAATCCTATTCCAAAACCCCCAGAATCCTACACTTGCGAATCAGAAAACGAATCAGATCATGGCGATCGAGTGATTCGTTAGGAAGAAGATATGCCATCAACGTCAAGAGATCCTGATTTTATACCGAGCACGTCATGCCACCAACCGCACAAAATAACAGAGTCAGAATTAAATGATCTTGTAAGAGATTTAGAACTTCCAAAATGTAAGGCAGAGTTACTTGGATCAAGACTGCAGCAGTGGAACTTGTTAGAAGACGATGTTTCGGTATGTGTTTTTCGTAAACGCCACAAAGACTTAGAACCATTTTTCAATATGGAGAATAACTTGGTTTTCTGCAGTAACATTAACGGCTTACTGGCGGCTTTAAATATAAACTATAACCCATAACAATGGAGATTATTTATAGACAGTTCAACATTGAGTTTAAAGGCGGTGTTATTGCATATTGGAAATATTTTACCATCTATTCCTGTAAGGTATGCAGTTCACATGAAAGAATCATATGACAATATGATGTACCTATTGACATGCATAAAATACGATGAGCACCAATGGCATATCTGTGGCGATTTGAAAATTGTTGCACTTTCACTTGGGCTGCAGCTAGGCTACACAAAGTTTTGCTGTTTTTTGTGTGAATGGGACAGTCGGGCAAAGGCACTTCATTACACCAGACAAAACTGGCCTGTTCGTCAATTCCTAGAGCCAGGTCAAAATAATGTACAGCATATGCCATTAGTAGATTCGAAAAAAATTTTATTACCACCACTGCATATCAAATTGGGCCTAATGAAAAACTTTGTCAAGGCATTAGATAGAGATGGGTCTGCTTTTCAATACCTGCGTCAGAAATTTCCAAGACTAAGTGAGGCAAAGGTTAAAGAAAGTATTTTTGTTGGGCCACAGATTCGAAATATTTTGAAAGACACACAGTTTGAAAACACTTTAACAGGTATTGAAAAAACTGCTTGGAATGATTTCCGTCTGGTGGTCACTAATTTCTTGGGAAATAGAAAAGGTGACAACTATAAAACCGTTGTCAAAAATATGCTGTCATCGTGTCAAAAGATGGGCTGTAATATGTCTCTTAAGATACATTTCCTACACTCACACCTGGACTTTTTTCCTGACAATTGCGGAGCCGTAAGTGATGAGCACGGCGAACGTTTTCATCAGGATATTTCAACAATGGAAAAAAGGTACCAGGGAAAGTGGAATCCTTCCATACTTGCAGACTACTGTTGGACTCTTGGTAGAGATGCTCCAGAAACGATCCATAAAAGAACAGCAAAAAGACAGCGCATATAGTGATTCTTATAAGTATATGAATCTTGTTACTTTTTTAATATATCCTTAAAAATAAAAAGTTTTTTTTCTAAGCCGCTACTAATTTTTTTATTTCATTGTCATTTTTTGATTCAGCGCCCCAAAACTAACAAAGAAGTGCACTTTTCCCACAAGATACAATTAAAAAACTAAAATTTGTTGTCCAGTGTTATTATTGTTATTATTATTAGTACCATAATATTCATACTCATTGTGGCTCAATAATTGTATGTATGCACTTTCAGATGCGTACATCCCAAAAAGGGTGGAGAAGTATATCAAACGACTGAGAGATTGTGGAATTTTCCCCATTGTGTGGGCGCCTTAGACGGAAAGCATATAACTATACTCCTATTAACAGTTGATCCGAATATTACAATTATAAGAATTATTTTAGTGTCGTACTAATGGCTTTGGTAGATGCAAATTACTGCGTCATATATGCAAATTGTGGTTACCAAGGCAGGCTTAGCGATAGAGCAGAATTTCGGATTACTCAGTTGTTTACCAAAATGGAAGGTAATAAGTTAAATTTGCCTTTGGGTGAATTCTTTAACGGTACCAACTCCCGGATGTCATATGTCTTCATAGGTGATGATGCATTTCCTTTAAGCACGTGTGTGCTGAACCCGTTTCCTGGACTGCACACAAAGGGCAGTAAAGAGAGGATTTTTAACTATCGTCTATTACGGGCGAGAAGTGTAGTAGATAATGTTTTTGGAGTAATGTCCTCTGTATTTCGAGTCTTACGATAACCAATGATACTTGAGGCAAAAAAAGTGACAATTATTACTATGACTTGTGTCGTGCTGCATAATTTTTTGAGAAACAGTACAACTTCATGGTTACAATATTCACCTCCGGGAATGTTTGATGCTACAAAAGAAGGAAATATCGAACAACGTTTCTGGCGTCGTGATCAGGATGACATAGCATCACTGTTACCTTTTAAGAAGGTGCCAAGAAAAGCAAGTATGGAGGCAAAAATTATTCGGGATGAATTTGCAGAATATTTCATGGGAGAAGGTCTGACTGATTGGCAAAACAATTACTGTTAAATCTTGAAATTTGTACACAGTGTCGGGCATAAGTAGCCCTTATTTGAAAAACCATAGGAAATAAAAAATAAATAAACGGTTCTACTAACCTCTGAATTTATTGTTTTCTTTGGTTCGTCCTTATTCCTCAAAAAACGTGCCATTGTTTCAAAGGCAAACCAAGTGGGTTTATAAATATCACTAGTACCTGCTCCACTTTTACTACTGTCTTTTACTTTATTCAAGCATGTTTGGAATAATGACATTAGTGACTCCTTTTTCTTTTTTAAGTCGGATATAGAAGAAGGCGTGCTTAACTTATTCTTTATCCGTAACCATGCATCATATGCGTCGTTCCTATTTTTATGTTGAATATGCGAACCATGCCATATTACAGGTTCATCTTCGTACAATTCTAAAAACTCCAGCACAAGTTCGTTTGTCCACTCCAACTTGAACACGGGCACACTTGCTTAGCACTGCGATATCAATATTTAAATACGGGGCATGTGTGTATCTGAAACAACTACGCACAATCTCAAATATTTGTCTCCTTTGATTTGTACTTATTTACCGACAATTGATGGGAAATATTTGATGTATGACAAATAACAAATATTTGTGTATTTTCATATGCATAGTGTGTGTCTGATATATTTGCCAAATATCAAACATTTGCTGTTTGAAAGTTGACAAACTTCACATGTCTGTAGCAGCCAGATCCAATTCAAGAAAACTTAGAAAATTGGTTTACTGATAATAAGTTGACTGATTGAACAACGCAGACACTTGCTGTCAGCTTAAGTAAACGTGACAATGATACACTGCAAGGAGCAAAATCCTAGGTGTTGATAGGAATATGACGTGGGAGGCACATGTCGAGCACCTCCTCAAATCTTTTCCGAGAAAACAAGGTTTTTTAAAGTGTTCTTCTTACAAGCAACTATTCATATTTCTACAGTAAGATGACTTATTAACTGGGGTCATTCTGCTAGCGTCGTTGGGATTCAAAGACGATATGTAGGGTATATGTTTGGCTTAAAATATATAGAGTTATGTAGAAGCTCATTTAAAACATAGAATTTGTGAACCTCAATACCTGCAGGGTGAGCTGAATCATGTTAACATGGTTTTAAAGCAAACGACTATCACAGAGAACAAATAGGCAGGAGACAAGAAACCACCTGCGGGAGTCTCGTTCCTACCATACATTAAGGGTATCACGGATAGAATAACAAGGTTGCTGCAGAAACACAACGTCAAAGCCATCTACAAGCCGAAAAATAAAATCCAGCAACTCCTAACATCAGCAAAGGACCCTAGCGACCCCCTGAGCGGTACCGGCGTATACAGAATACCGTGTTCCTGTGGTAAAGTACACGTAGGCAACACTAAACGTAGGTTCCAAACACGTATCAAGGAGCATGAAAGAAACTGTCGACTGGGGCAAACTGATAAATCAGCGGTGGCCGAGCACGCACTCGAAAGCGGCCACAATGTTCTGTTCGACCAAACTGAATTCCTATCAACATCCACCCACTACTCAGCCCGAATGTACAGAGAAACAATTGAAATCTACAAACACAATGGGAAGTAATACCTGTACTCTTAAAATATGGTAAGGATGTAACAAAAAATCCACTAAAATTCTCCAAACGGTTTTTATTTTTTTTTGCAAAAATGACGCATCAAAGGAAGACAATTTAAGAGAGATCATTTGTTTTAAATTGAACGGGTAATTCAAAAATAATTCTTGTTTGGCAAAAAACCATTGGAGTACAATTTTTTTCTTGAAAAATATCAAAGTCAATACCCGTATGCACGCCACTGTTAAAGCTAAAAATTAATTTTGTATTGAAAAATATGCAACTTTATTAACTTCCACTATGTACTAAATATCAGTGAAATATCTGAAGCGGTTCTGAATATATTGATTAATTTCCATTTTTTCCTAAATCTTCAACAACCTGAGTTTTTGTAAGGAAACATTTTTGGACCATAGTTTATAAAGCAAACTAACATTAATTTTTAATGTAGATTCACACCCTTAAATATTCGCTTATCATTAAAGAACATCCTGTATACTTACACTTTGACAATTCTTTTCTTCTTTGACATGTGCAAACCATACTGTGTACTTAGCACCACTAAATTATTATTAAAATTTTTATAAATGACTTGGCCTACAAACCGATGGCCATTAGCATTGGACGGACTTCCACTTTACTCACTGATAACGGGACTGTATGATTTCGTGGAAAATACTGAACAAATCTAGTTGACCTTTTTTCTGAAAGACCTATGGTACAATGAACGGAAAGTTATAATTGCAAACCCAGACGTCGTAAGTTATCTCCAGACTCCATGCAGCCTAAACAGAAGAGAATACATTCGCGTTTGATTTGGCACAAAAGGTAAAATGCTCAGAATTGAAACTAATTAAATATTTGAATAGGAATAGCTTCGGGTGAAATTATAAGTTACCTTCGTTTAGCAGAGATGGGACAAATAGTTCATCTGAGGTATGCGATTACACGGAATCGACTCCTTCCTGCAGACTAGATTCGCGTTTGGTTTGCAACAAAAAGGTAAAATGCTCAGAATTAAAACTAATTGCATATTTGGATACGAATAGCTCCGAGTAAAATCATAAGCTACCTTCGTTCAGCTGAGATGAACCAAATGGTTCATCTGAGATATTCGATTACGTGGTATCGACTCTTTCCTGGGAATTGATTCCCTTGGTTCCTAACTTAGCGCACGATTCACATCGTCATTCTGCTTTGCTTTCATTTTCAAGAATTTTTTGCAGAATAGTCTAGTATTGTACATGAAACGACTTAATCAAAAACTGTCCAAATCCCATGAAGACATTGTATGAAATATTCAGATGATCGCGTGACGTCTATCCTGCCTGCGATAACATAGCTTACCATAGCAGGGACAGATTAGCCCTGTCAGGGTCCCTAGGCATTGCAATTCTCGAACTCTTTTTCTTTATGCGTTTCTTACCTTTAAGAAACATTTTTCCATCACAATGCAATGTATGTATATTTTCTAACCTGAGATAAAAGACGTCGTGGTTAGTAGTAGTAGTAGTCACCGACGGCCCCCTGGTGCGAAAGGGACGAGACTGTCCGCTAGAGAGCCCTCATCTGAACAACATCGAGCATGGATAATGTCGGAGCGACAGCACCCCAAATATGTGAGCAGTACTCGAGAATAGGCCTTACCTGGGCCTTATACAGGGTGAGGAGATCATGTAGAGGAAAGTTCCTCTTAGCCCCAAACCAAAAGCTTAGCTTTTCCCAGCAGCTGCCGCTAGTCGCGAGATGTGTTCGTGCCAGATCAAGTCCTCGGTGATCTGGATTCCGACCAGCCGAACTGAACGGATCTTTGGCAGAATGCCGCAATCCGCTGGAACTGGGTCATCGTTAGGGCACTTCTTGTTAGCCAATTTACAGTACTGTGCTCTGAAAGTATTAGACTGTGTTGTCAGAGAGAAAGGCGCTCCTGACCTTCTTTTCTCCAGTCTCCAACAGAGATCGGCTTATGACTTTGAATTTCTGCACTAGCAAATCTGTGGATCGAATGTATGTGTCTGTAACATCGTAAATCCAAAACGACGAAACCGGTAATAGTTTAGTTTTTTAGAAACAATTAAACCTATAGTATTCTTAATTTATAGATGATTCACAAAAATCTGTCAAGCCATTTGAAGATCATCATCGCTTTTTCAGGTGCTGCACAGATGTGAGTAACTTCCAGATCATCGCTTCCAAATTTGGTATCCTCTTACTTCAATGTCTTATGTAATATTGCATCAACAGTTACCTTGACTTGATGATGCAGCATCAACAGCATCACCTCACTTCACTCATTGCTTCCATTGAAATGGTCTTAATGAATTTAGGTTATAGATAAGCAATGATATAGGCTTCATGATGGAGTAGGAAAGAGATTTGAGACGCAGCGCGGTTATTTTAAATGTACTCTTGTTCAATGCAGTAAAATATCATAAAACAAAAGAAAATAGTTTTGTAAAGTACTTTAAATAAGAACTTTTTTGATACAGAAGCGTTTGACCCATTTTGGAAGTTCCAATAGATCACCGCCATTTTCAACAATGACTTTAGACGGCCTTGAGACATTGTTGAACTAAGACAGTTCCTTATTAATTTGAATTTTGAAAGAAATATTTGTTATTGGGGAAGGATACAAATTTTCAAATAAGATTTTTGCCCGATGAAACGTTTCATTTACTTTTTTCCTGGTGCGTGCAAGGAGCTCTCTGTCAGTGCAGGGCCCCTAGGCAGTTACTTACTATGCCCAATGTTCAAACTGGCCATAAACCATAGTCATGAATAGAAATGACGTCACTGATGCAGATGCAAGGATATAATAATAATAATAATAATGTTTATTTTATTAATACATAATAGAATAAAAAAGTATTGCAAGGCAAGATTCAATATTTTCGTTGTACAGTAGATTGTAGCAGTGGTCATTACCGGCTGCCACCGATGTCAAACGATTTTTCTTTGCTGATCGTATCTGTAATTTTGGACAGATTTTTCTTCGTGCTTAATGTTACTGAACAATGCAAAATGATGACGAAAAGTATTTAGTTTGATAGGGTACGTTTGGTTTGAGATTATACAACTTGAGATTTTTAAAAAATTGAGATATCTACTCCATATACTCTAGTACCTTCTTTTGTTTATTGTACCATCATTTTTGCATGCTATCTTAACCTCGTTATTTTCATTATACAGGGTCGCGCATCGAAAACGAAACAGACGCATTTACTGGCAGCTCAGTTTTTTTTTTTGGAAAAACGCTCAGACCCGTCGATTTTGTTTCGAGGGGGATACAAGTTTGGCAAAAAATCACCAACCCTAAAATCTTAAATGGAAAGGGGGGTCGAGTGACACCTTATTTTAAAGGTCTTTCAATTCCCTTTATAATGATGAAAAATACATGAGCTTCAGTTCAGTAGTTTTGAAGATTTATTGATTTAAAGCTTAAATAAAATTAATACATCACCATTAGTAGAGATCAATACATTTGCCAGCAGAGTAATTTAAAAATGAAGAATGAAATGACCCGTTAGGCAAGTAAATGTTGAAAATGGCCACGATGACTGTCCATGCAATAATAAAAAACGTTGCCGCACTTTTTGCAATATTTGAGGCGTAATTTGAAGGCACTGATTCACAATTCTTTGTCGCAGGTCTTCTAATGATGTTGGCTGAGTAGCATAGATTTTGCTTTTTAAATGACCCCACATAAAGAAATCCAAAGGTGATAAATCTGGCGATCTTGGGAGCCATTTAGTGGCACCTCTTCTACCAATCCATCGATCTGGAAACGTCTGATCTAAATATTGTCGAACACGTAATGCGTAATGTGGTGGGGCACTATCCTGTTGGAACATCCACCTATTCGCAATGTACCGCCGATCATTCTGATATGGCTGTTAATGCAGGACATGTGACGTCTTTCAGTAACTCCAAATAAATTTCACCGGTCAAATTTCCAGGTAAGAAAAAAGGACCAACTAAATGATCGCCAAAAATACCAGCCCAAACATTCAATTCCTGTGGCTGCTGTGTATGAATCTCATGATAAATTCTGGGATTAGAATCGGACCAATATCGGCAGTTATGATGATTTACTACACCATTTAAGAAAAAGGAACATTCGTCGGAAAAGCAAGTGTTGAATTGAAAACGTTCATCGTTTATAATTCGTTCACTCATATCTTCACACAATTGTAATCGCCGATCAAAATCGTCTTCATTAAGTTCTTGTACCAGGTGAATTTTACACGGATGACTAACGTCGACTAACACCACTCACAGTCTCCAATTTGCTGGTACTCAACGTTGGATCTACATAAACTTGCCCTAAAACCCCCACTTCTATTGCTTCGTTCCTTATGGGATTTTCAATGTTGCGTTTTTTATTGGCGACTGACCCAGTTTCCCGAAATTTAGCTACAAGTTCTAGAACATATTTTCGTTACTGTTCTCATGTTGCTCATTAAATATTTCTGATGTTCTATTAGTGCACTGATTATTTCCGAAAAATATTTCGATAATTTCAGCTCTTTCTGCTGTGGAATATACCATGGTTAATTTATGTAATAAAGCGTTACAAGTTATTTTAGCAACAAAGTTTGGTCAAATCAATCGCAAACTATGTACTAAATTCCAATTTAAAATAAGTACGAGATATTTCCTTATCTTTCTTCAATGAATAACTTTTTTCCACAAAAAAAGGCTCCAATAGGTAGTTTCAACAACAAAATGGTAAACAAACCATGGGCGTAGTGAAGAAAAGAATGTACTTATTAAGTAAATTCTTTTAGTCAAATTTCTTCTGAAAGTAGTACAAACTAATCTGATATACCTATTTAAGCTTTAAATCAATAAACCTTGAAAACTACTGAACTGAAGCTCATGTATTTTACATCATTATAAAGGGAATTGAAAGACCTTTAAAATAAGGTATCACTCGACCCCCCTTGCCATTTAAGATTTTAGGGTTGGTGTCACCTCCGCCCAGGGGGCTGCACGTGTTAACGTGATTTTTTGTCAACTTTGTGTCCCTCTTGAAAACAAAATCGACTGGTCTGAGCGTTTTTCCAAAAAAACCTGAGCTGCCAGTAAATGCGTCTGTTTCGTTTTCGACGCGCCACATTGGATATCGCTTATTCCAAGCATGGCTTCAGAAATATACGAGTTACCGATTTCTTCTAACTACAACTAATTCTTTCAACTTTTTTGCTCTCAGTCGGATGTTTTTACGTGTTGTCTCATTTTATAAATACCTAAACATCCTGTTTGAAGGGTTTTTCCTTTCCTGCCAACACATTTTCTCATTTTTTGTTGTTGAATAAAAAGCTTTCCCATAAAGTTGGTGTACCCATTTTATGGAACGTATGTATATCACGTTCCATAAATAATGAACTTGCGTTTTCCCCATTTTCAAAAGGATATTGGAAATTTTTAAATCATGAATCGTTTAATTTCGACTCAGCTCTATACCGACAAATCCTTCTCAGTTTGAGAATCGGTGGGTGTTAGATAAGCAATACTGCACCGTTCAGAAAATTTCGCGTTTAATAAGATTTGCCAGAACAAATGGAAAAGATTAATGTGCTTGGTATCCCCTTCGTCAGAAAGTTCACCCTACAAGCTTCTACGGATAATTTTGGTGAATTGCAAAGGAAGCTATCTGATGGATTTGACAGATTCGTAATTAGAAATTCAAGTTCTCGTCGCAATAGTCCATGCTCTCCGGTAACAATTCGCTTATACATGAATGATATAAACTTTTTTTAAAAATCTGTTTTTCGAAGGAAACCTAATACGCTGAAATTTAGTGTCTGCGAAAGGTTGGGAAATCTGGAAACTGGAGATATTACAGAACAAAATATGTGAGTTAACCTAAACATACCTCAGTCCAAAAGTTGATAGTTTGCGAGATACAGGGTGTCAAAGTTACAATTTTATTTTCTATTTTTCCTTACTGCTTGAGAAGTTGTTCAGATTTTGGCATTTTTGCTAGTATGAGCAACAAGAATCCGTTATTTTTGATGGCTAAACTATTTTGGCAAATAACTTATCATAACTTTTTTGTGCTACCCTGTATACAACAGCTGACCACAGAATCTTATTTTCTCGTATGTACACAACAAAAGAAGTTTACTTGCTAGAAGTGTCCAAAGCTAATAGTTTTCGAGATATTTGCTTTTAAAAGTCTCAATGTATTATTTGTACCATGATGATAGGACATTTTTATAACATATGTAATTATCATGTTGCTTTGGATAATATCTGAGTAGCGTTGCTGTGGTTTTTAATAATAACAAATGAAGATGGCATCAAAACTAAGAAATGGAAATAATAACAAAAAATGTTTAAAATGAGCACCTTGACTAACACACTCTCGAGCTCGAAGAACTAATCCTTGCACTCTCTAAAACATTTTGATGTTATTTTTCATTTGCTGGCTATGGTGAACAATTCTTTGTCGAAGATCATCTACAGTTTCCACTGGCGTATTGTAAACGCGTCGGTTTAAATCACCCCAGAAGAAGAAATCCATAGGATTTAAATCCGGACATCTAGCCGGTCACGATACAAGTCCTCATTGACCTATCCACTGGACTGGATAAACTCTATTTGGGTGCTCTCTAACTAATATACTAGAATGAGGTGGCGCGTCGTCGTGCATAAACCACATATTCATGCGTGTTTGTAATGGAAGATCTTCCAGCAGAGTGGGTAATTGTTCTTCAAGGAATTGTAAATACTTTTACTAGGTGGTAACTCAACGCCCAACTAGCAAAGTAGTGCTATAAGCTTTTGGTAAAAGAACCGTTCAGCCATAAAAGCTCTCTATTGTTGTTGCCCGAACATCAAAATGCTGCCTAAATGTTATGTAGAATGCAAATTTGCTTTCTGCAAGATATTTGCTCTAAAATGAGGTGATTAAAATATTATTATAGCATAGTTACACAACACCTTATAGGACAAATTTTTAACTGTTGCATAAACTTTTATACAACTATTTTATATTTGCACGTTAGTCAAAATGGTTGTGTTGTGGCATCCATGGTAACGTTTATAAAACAAACCCGAGCCTTGTTGTTTTGCTGTGTTAATTTACTACTTTAGCCAACAAATTGCTCCCAACGGAAGCACTTATATAACTGTTGTTTAGTAACTGTTAAAGGCTGTACATATGCTGAATATGTTGGTATACAACTTCACCATAACCTAACTTTATGCTGTCATATTTT